ACTGAGAGAATTAATTCTTCTCTTCACTAATGATGCTCCAAAGTGGTTCCTGTGCAGTCCAAGCTCTGGGTTCTTGGCTGGACAAAATAAGGAAGATCAAAGTTTCAGACAGAGGCAAGATTGTTGAGATGGGGAACATCACTTCCTGCAAAGGCATAAATCCCTAAGTTAAAAACAGGTAATCAGGGATGGCAACTCAGCAGCTCTGAGGGTGAGCCTGTGCCAGGGAATAGGGGAGACACATGGTCATCCCCCTGTTCCTGTCAGGGCCCTGCCAGCTCTCCTTGGCCTGGGAACGAGTTGCTCTCAACTGTGTGCAGAAGGCAACAAACACCTGCTCTGTCCCTTGAGGGTGTGGATGCCCTGCTTGCCCTACAAATTACTGATATCCACCTCAAAGTTACAAATTACTGACATCCAGCTCCAGTGATAAGAAGCATCCAGCAACCTAATAACCAGTTTCATGGGTGTGCACTCAGTTGCCAAAAATGACAGGGAAGAATGAGGGCACCTCCAGCATTCCAAACCTCCCAGCATGGCCAGGCTGCCTGACAAGAAGTCTTTCCCTGAATGATGGTTCATACTCCACATCCAAGCAAGGGAAAAAACCCTGTTGGTGCTTTGTTCCCTGCAGACAGATTGCCTCCAGATGGGAAAAGCAAGATCTCTTCACTTGTAGCAAATGTTGAGGGGTAAAAAACCAAAACAAAACCTACAAAACCAAAACAAACCACAAAGCAAACATCTGATCACCATTCCCATCTACTCTGTCTGAGTATCAAGCTTTGGGGCCTCCCAGTTCATCAGGGCCACTGCCAGGAAGGTCCCCCATCCTCAGAGCACGTGGAAGCACAGCCCAGGAATCCCACTGGTGCTCAGCAGCCACAGGGTAGACTGAGAGCTGCTGGTTTTGAAGCATTTTACAACTTTTCAAAGAGGAGCATTCTGATTTTCTTGCTTTGCCTGTGAAACTCCTTTATTTACCTGTGTGACTGTGGAAAGTTTGTTGCATTTATCCACGAGCCAAAAGGAAGTAGGGATTAATCTTGAATGTCAGACAGAGTCTGAATCCCCACCTAAACCAACACAAACTAACTGCCCTATAATCTCTCAGTAAATTAGTTTTGCCTTTTTGTGGCACGAGGAAATGCCAGTAAGCTTAGAAACAGGAAGCCAAAAATAAGGCAACAACACAAATATATCATTTGTTTAACGTAGTAAGGAGTAAGATTAAAGAAATACTGGCAGCCATAAGATGATGATTTTTCCTTCACTTTCTTCCACAATTTAGATTTGAGAAACTCTTAATTAATGAATGTTATCTGCAGACATTCATTGCTAACCAACAGTGTTCATCAGGTTTCCTCTGACTCTAAGTGACTACCTGGGCTGCCTCCCACCATCGCCTTCACAACCATTTCCCTGTCTCAAGACCCTTCAAAAACAACTAGGGAAACTTCTGCTCCAGGAAAGTTCTGGATGCTTCCTGTGATGGTAGCAATCATGGTACGGTTAATGTTATTTTTTTGAAATTGCTTTTTTCAAAACATAGCTTTCAGAAAACACACAATACAAAGACAAATTCTATTCACCTGGGATATTTTATCCTCAAAACCAATAAACTGGTTTTGCTGCTTGAGAAACTGCTGCTATTGTTTGTTTTCTTACCTTGACCAGTGCAGCTACAGTCCCTCCCAAATCTCCAGTGCTTTACCTCTTCTCCTCTACTCTCTTCCCTCTTTTGTCTTCTCAGAGCCCAGCTCTGTGGGCTGTTTTCCTGCTGACTCCTTGGCCAGCTGGGCTGCTCCCCCCCAGCCACCACTGTCCTTACCCATCCCTGCAGAGGCTGCCATGTCCTGCCAGCTCCCCGAGGTGACCCCTCCCTCCTCCAGGCCTTCACTCCTCCTTCTGATCCCTCCATTGAGCTCTAGCAGGAGGATCAATGAAAGCACAAAAAGTACCAGCTCCGTGCTGGGGCCAGAGCAGCCTCGATGGGCAAAGTCTGACTCCACTTGCATGCCTGAGCTAATCAGCCTTAATTGCTCTTTAGGGTTCATGCACACACAGCTTGATCAGAAACAAGACAAATTTTTAATTTACTCCCTAAAATACAGTCTGTGGTTAACATTCAGGCTGGGAAACATGAGACCAAACACTTGTAATTTGGCAAAGTTACAGATATGACTGAAATCCAGCTCCAGTGACAAGAAGTGTCAAGCAACCTAAATAACCAGCTTTATGAGCTCCAACTGTAATCAGCTTCCTACTGTTTGTGGTACCTCTGCATTACCTGTACTTCTCTAGAGCCATTTTTCAAGAAAAGTTATAAAAATAATCTGGTTTTGTAGGTTATTTTTACCTAGCTCTTTAAAGCATTATAGGTTCACTTTGGTGAAAGGATGTTAAATTAGCTTCACAAATATTTAATCAAGCTGCAACACAACTTTTCTCCTGTCTTTCTGGACAGAGCTAATAGCTGTTCCTCCTGGTTACTGTAGTTACACCTTACTGAAAAAGCATCCAGGCTCTTGTCCCTTTGGCTTTAAGACCTCCTTCCCAGAGCTCTGGGTCAACTAAAATGCTAACTAGAGCTGTTCAGAGAGTAAATCTGCTCTAGCCAGACTATTCACTGCCTTTGGGAAAGGTGGATTTGGGTTTTGATGGATTTGAGGTGAAGTGTTTGCATTAGGTTTTTGGGGAATTTGAGTGGGGGTTTTTTGGAGTTGGTGTTTTGATTACGGTGTTCTTGTTTTTTGCAGAACACTATCTGAGAGTACTGAAATAATAACTCTGCAAAGTCCATGTTTATTGTAGAATATTCACTGAAATGAAAGGTCACAGAGTTTATGTAGCGAGACATAGAGCTATCCCTTTTACTCATGTGGTGTAAATTTTGTTAAATAAAAACCCATAAATTCTGCTAATAAAAAACAAATCAGAAGAGATTTAAGCCCTGCATGTTGCTCCTCAAAGAGGCTTTCCCACAAATACGGTGGGTTTTTTTAATTCCAGCAGTGACCACTCAAAGAACAGTCATTAAGTTATGTTTTAGGTTGTACATGTCAAGTTTCTCCTCTTGTTCAGGCTTGATTAATTGTTAAATTAGTGTGACAGAGAATGAGCTCCCTCCTCCAGGAGTGGTATTTCAGCCTTAGGGCAGCGTTTCACTGCTGTGCAGTGCCAGCCCTGTGAGCCTGAAGATGTGCCAGCCTTGGAAATAAAAGGAACCTTGTTCTGCTTCAACCTCAACCTTGTCCAGCATCGTGCAGTGACACTTGGAGGTCTTTCAAGAATGTGTGTCACAGGCCCTGCTAGAGCAGATACGGAAAACAGTTTAACAACTACACAGCTCTGGGCTGTAAGAAATCCAGTCCCATGCAGGCACGTTCAGAAAGTTATCACTGACTAGTGAAAGGACATTTGAAAACATCTCTTTCTAAAGATACAGGTGAAATGTATGTTGTGGTCATTTTTTTCCACCAGTAAATTAAAGTGAAGAATGTAATAGAAGTCCTAAAGATGAAATTGGCTTTAGGAGAGCACCAAGGAAGGAGGGGAATGTAAGCAGTATCCAAGAGACACAACACACTTGCTAAGCTGTTTTAGTTACCCTACTTCACTAAGCCTGCCTGACTGCAGCTGTTCCTCCATGTCACTCCAGAAGCTACAGGCAACCACCCCTAAATGGATCACAGGGGGCTGAAGACCCTCTTTGATAAATTGCAGCCATAGGAGTCCAACTTCATGGCCAACACATCACCTGCTGCAGATACATACCTGGAAATGACTGAGATAGGCAACTAAAATACTGATGGTTTAATACAACAAAAAGTGATAAAATAGGTACAAAAACCTCTTCCTTATCAGAAATAGCACAGAACTCCTCAGGCTGGAAAACACATCAGATAATAGAACAGACTTATAAAATTGTGGGTGACACAAAGACAGTGAATAGAGAACAACTGTTCAGTGTTTCTTCCAATGCAAGACCTGCAGATTATTAAATGACAATATCAGCAAGTTCAAAGGAAGGAGAGACACTTCTTTTCTCATAATGCACAGCTCAAGTATGAAACACTTTGCTACAGGAGTGAATGTTTACATCAATTCCAAAACTCTGCAACAAATTCTTGGAGGAGAAACCTGTCAGTCCCTGTTAAACACAGAGACACGGGCTGCAGAGCAGAAAGCCCTAAATCAGCCTCAGCTCTGCAGTCTGGGCTGTGCCACCTGAGCTGCTCCCACACTGCTCCTTTGCCAGCCCCTATTGCAATATCCTGCCTCAAGACAGCACTGCACTGGAGGAGCTTTGTGTTTCCCCAGCTCTGTGACCATCCCTGTTTCCTGGTGTTTTCCTGCAGGGCCATAAAGCTGCCAGCAGCACCTGTGGGCTGTGCAGGGGGCAGTGCTGGGAGCAGAGCATGGCCCCACAGTGCCCTTGGGTTCCCTGCACTGCAGAGCTTGCCTTGCCTGTGGGTTGAGCCCACCATGTCTATGGGGACAGAGAGACAAGCTTCTCCCTGCTGCTGTTTATTTGCAGTAACTTGCTCAAACGTGGACTTTCCCCACTGAAATGTAACAGCATGAATATGCAAATAGTAAATCCCCGTCAAAAAGTAATTTAGCAAGAGCCAAGTCCCTTATCTGTGCTCCTCAGTCCCATTGTGACTTATCACAGTTGACATTTCAGCAGGGCTGTAGTGGCAGATCCCAGTTTGAACATTCATGAGGGGAAGATGCAACAGCCCAGCTTTGATGTCAATAGAGTGTCAGTCTCTGTCGACTGAACTTAATTGCAGGAACTGCTTTAATAGTCAACATAAGCCATCTGTTTAAACATGTGTGTTTTGAAAAGGACTGCCATGTACAATAAACATGCTCAACTGTAATGACTCACATATCTGTTTATGTGAAACGAGGATTCAACAATTTCCCTCACAAAAACACTACATTACAGGTTAAAAGCAGTTTTATATCAAGTTAATTTGTTTCCGTGGCAGGTTGACCGATCTGACAGCTTTGAGGCAGCTTGGCAAGTTTGTTCACCACAGAGCTGATGAACCACACTGGCCAACCTTCCCTCAGGAACCTGTTTGGTAACTCAGAGCTGCACCAAGGAAGAGCAGCAGCTCAGGGGATGAAGGGGCTGACAGCACATAGGTACAGTTGCAAAGTGTCCTTCAAAACATTTGTCCAGGGTGCACATGGAGAGCAGATACTGAATCCCAGGTGAGAGGCCACAGGTAATTCCAAAACAAACCAAGGGAGCCTGGGGGTACCAGCAGTCTGGATTTAGGTAATAGCTGTAACCACTGTTGGCTCAGGAATGGGGTAAACATTCATCTTGGTTATACATTCATCTGATCTTCAAGCCCTGATCTTGCACAAGGGAGAGCTGTTACCCTCTCCTGTGCAGGCCAAAGCCACTTCAAGTGGCTGGCACACACCTGAGCAGTCATGTACCAACAAGGGGAAAGCCAGAAGTGTGTAACCTCCTGTGTTATCTGTCAGACTGAGGCAAAAAACAGGCTTTCCTTCCTTTGTTCTTCCTTAAAAATAACAGCTAATATGCACTTACAAGAGAGAACAACCTGCCATCAGCTATCACTGGTGCTGCCATTTCTGAGTAAGCTTTGTCACATCAATCATTGCAATGCACTGGTGCCTGGACTTACTCAGCAGCAGCATAAATTAGGGATCTGCTTTCATCCACACTGAGCAGGGATGCAGAGTCTGGCCCTGTGCTTCCCTCTCACGTGTACAGGGGAGAATCCTGTTGCATTTATCAGCCATTAATATGCACAACATTTATTAGTGCCTGTAGAGAGAGGCTCAGGAACTGGAGGGGTAGTGAAGGAAGAGGGGAGAGGGAGGAAAAAAACCTCATATGGTCAAGGCACATCGTGAATCAGCAGCTCCAGCAACTTTCCTCTCCTGGACAGTGAGCCTGACATCACCATGGCCTTGTCTTTTGGTTTTCCTTTCCCCTAGAACCATTTTAAACTCATGGGAAATATAAGGAGGTCTCTTTTATACCCTAAACTTTTCTATTGTTCCCATGAGGTGTGATGCTTCATTAAATTAGGAGGTCAATAATTGTATTTTAAGAAACTCTTTAATATCAGCAGTTTCCTCATTAAGTGGAAGCAGTTTTCTGCTTCATGTACCTGAGCTAGTGCTGCTCAGTCAGTGGGTTTTGTTAATATTTGTATTTCTGTGACGTTGAAGTGAAGGTGGTGTAGAAGAAACCTGTAGAACTAAAGTTCTGTGTGATGTGCTGGATCATTCCTTTCCTTTGACATCCTATTACCTCTCCTTCTTTTGTAGTTTACAGACATTCTGACAGCACAGCACAGGCCTGTGTTAGTTTAACCACAAATATACAGCTAACAAGATAGATAGATATATATATATATATATATAGAGAGAGAGAGAGAGAGAGAGAGAGAGAGAGGACAATGACAAGCACCTACCACTACTCAGTGTATAAGAGCACCACTAACAAGCCAAGTGTTGCCAGCTCTTCCCAAATCAGAGAATTATTACCACATTTTCAACATCAGTCAGTGTGAGACATGTAGGCGACAATTCAGTAGCTTTGTAGAGCCCAAAACGTTCCTGTCATTAAATATTAATTAAACTGGAGTTGATCCCCAGTTTTCCTTGTGATGTATTCACTAGAATATGATCTTTTTCTTGTCAGCTGTTTTATAAAATTCTCACTATTTTACTTGGAGATATTCCATGTTTTGTTTCAGGGTCCAACTCTCTCTTCAGTAATACACCCAGATTTCTGTTGTTGCTGTTATTATACCCACATTTTTGGGGGGACAACTATGGCACACACTTGCTACTTTCACTTTTTCTTATTCCTCATAATCTGTGCAAGATGATAGACGAAAATAGGATCATTTTGAGGTTACTCACCTGGATTTATCCACTTAAGTCTAGATACAGAGATGTCAACTTGAGGTGACCGTGGTGATGGCTCTAGGCTTGGTGTATTCCAGACCATGGTAAGTAAGAATTTTCTCTTCTGTTGTATCCTGGGCAAAAGCTCCTCTTCAGACTTCATTGTATCACATGTGTGAAATAATATATGTTTATTTAGTAAATTGCTTTGTAAGGAGGGTTCAGGGTCACTCTTCAGAAAAACATTAAACAACTCCTGTCTTCACTTCTAAACTGCTGTCAGTCAGGGCTGTGCATCTGCAATTACCTTAAGAAAGAAACTGAACTGAGAAAGTGCTGAAGAAAATAAACCAAACAGCCAAAAACCAGCAATGACTTTTCTGTTCTTGCATCTGACAGGCAAGAACCTGATTACAGAACCCTCAAATGAAACATAAAACATACTGACCTATTTAACAGGCTCCAGCTACAGAAGAGCTCAAAATTAAGACAAGACTTTTCTCTAACTTGTTTCTTAAGGCCTTAGTGCAAATTAAATTCAATAACAAGAACCATAAACAGCATCATGGTTACAAGGAGAACTCTTCGTTCTCTGCTATAATGGAATAAGGAAAATAAGGAAAAGAGATGAAAAAAATGGGATTTACACCCCTCAGCCTTTCAAAGGACAGTCAGTTTTGGCTGCTTTATATTAAAAAAAAAATCCAACTCCTCATTCCATTATTTTTATACATCAGCATTTTTATATTCTTTCTTGCTTTGGAACTGGTTATATTCTATTCAGACAGCACTGTTTTCCAAATGCAGATGAGACATGGCTTAATTATTTTTTATATATCCCGTGTTAACTATGGTATGTTTTTATCACATGCTGCAAATCTTTTCATCCTTTGACTCGACATCCTTTAGTCTTGCAGCCTGTGCAGTCAAAACTCTTGTTAATGCAAGTGTAATGAGCAGAGAAAGGGATCCTACCTGATTCCCATGTTGAGCACTGGTAAGTTATCAAAAGGCAGCCCTTCAGCTCTGCCAAATTATGTTCATCAGCAGACTTCAAGCAGGAGCTGCCAGCCTTGGAGCTGCTGGGGTTCAGAGGATCCAGCAGGAACAATCCACCTCTTTTATCTGTGCAACTAAAACACAAAAGAAGCTGTAGCATCAAAGATGAATGCTCAGGCTCTGGATCTGGGAACAGTTCACAGCTCAGAGCTCCTGCAGGCAGAGCCCAGGCAGACACGTGCCTATGGCAGGAGCAGCTCCCTGCTCGGGCAGCAAGTGGCTCAGGAGGGGAAAAAACCAAACCAAAAGGAACCCCAAAGCACCAGACATTGGGTGCTGTGGCCCTCCCAGGGAGGGCTGGAGAGCCCAGGGGGGACAGCTGCAGTACCAAAGGCTGTGGTACATCAACCAGGCCCTCAGATTTTATTCAGGGTCTGCATGTGAGAACTCCCAATCCCAGAGATAACACACCGTGGAAAACAGTCCCCTGGAGTGGTCTGCATGGCCTGCTCAGTTCTGTGCAGGTCAGTGCTCTGTGCTGCCCAAAGCTCTGCTCCTGGGTAGGTTACAGGTGACATGAGTTCTAAACAGGGGAATTGTCAGAAACTACTCCTACAAATACATTCCCTACTCAGCTTCAGTAGTTGGAATAATAAAACCTACTCAGTTCAGGTACCAGAGGAATTGCTACTCATGTCCACCAGTTCAGTTGTCAAACCCATGAAACCATCCCAAGCCCAGCTGCAGATACTCAGCACACCAGTTATCATTCAGTTAGTTTTCAGACACTGTTTTAAGCTTAGACACAAAAGCCCCAAATATTCCAATCCTTCTAGGAATGTATCTTTATGATCAGGGCCTTAGTTTCCTAAGAGATAAGCAAGAGTATTTGAGTATCTAGTAATAAATATACTACACTGTTCCTTTCTGGGGGCTAAGGGTGGTGCTGGCTCAAGATCTTTCTCACAATATTGCAGTTTTTCTTACCACTAAATATGTAAGGCTTTTCAGGTTTTAAGTCTTGCTTAGTTTTCCAACACTTGCATTTTGTACTGATGACATTACACCTCACATGGGCATTACAAGTTTTTAATGTGGCAGTCATGACATTCTTCTGAGATTCCCTTTCCATGGAGGATCAGACTACAGATATTTGTGGTACTTCTAAAAAAAAGCCAAAATGGGTGAGACATCTTATCCTATATACATTTCTGGTATTAGCAAAACATACAGGCAAAGCAGAGAAAAATCATCTGTGTTTGGAAGGTGAAAGTGAAGCAAAGGAAAAGGGAAGTGTGATCTGAGGAAGCAAAGATGGGGGAAATTCTGCCCTTTGAAGATACTGGAAGTCGAGCTGACCATGGTCCTGAGCAGCTGGAGCTGCTCCTGCTTTGGGAAGAGGTCAGACAAGGTGATCCTGGGTCCCTGCCAGCACCAACTATTTATTCAGTGACTCTGAAGTGGACAAAAGTCACAGGCCAATGCCATAACAAGGACTGTTTTTCTTTAGGAGAAAGTAGTTCTTATCAAGAAAAAGTGAAATGAGTGGTACCCAGTCTTCAAAGAGTGTTTCTTTACAACACAAGCACTGAGTGGAAACATAAATAAGTGGAGCAGATTAGCTCCATGCTGGTAGCCCTAGTTCTGCATTTTGGTTTTCTACTTTATCAGTTTTTCTTTCAGTAACTTCCCTGGGAGTATGCTGCATTTTGACCTTTTAGAAGGTCCCACAGATTAAATCTCCCATCGTTTCAGTTCATATTTGTGCAATTCTTGAGTATTCTGCTCCTGTGGGCCTCTCCACATTAAAACCTCGTCTTCTGCTGTGCCCACGTAGTAACTTCCAAGAGTGACAAGTTGTTCCTGTCAGCTGGACATGTCAGTTGTCCCATAACTTCCACACAGTCCCATTCCTGAAGCAACATTAAGTCATTCATTCCTAGCAGGATACCTTCACAGCAGATGGCTAAAGAAGGCCACAAGACAGAAATATTCCAGCTGCTTCCTGCACCTCCTGGTCTACTTTTACTAGATGTGTCTGTTCCCTTCCAATAAATGCATTTAGGACAAGTCTTAGGAAACTCATATTGAATTGGATTTGTGCTTAAGCTTTATGCAGACTTGGACAATGTCCAGCTCTCCCCGTGGGTTAAGAACAACTCTCTGTTTCATGAACTTTTCGTACAAACAATGGTTTTGTTTCCAGTTCCTCTGGGTTGGATACATACTCCAGCAAAGCATCCTGCTAC